TACTTTGAAAGTTTTCCAAACCGGACTACTCAACTTAGAGGCCCTCTTTTTCCCCTAATATCAATACTGGGGGTGAAAGCTCCACTTCTATTGACATCAATCGCATCAGTGCTAACACTATCATGATGCAATTGAATATCATCAATGATGAACATGTTGGGGAATTGGTTTTCAGAAGAACCAGCCATTTTTTAATTCTAAAAAGATAAAAATTAATCTAATTCAACTTACCTAGATTGTCGGTTCAAAATCCCAACTTGATTTCAACGATTGAAACCTTTCAACATCCAAGCCTCCCAAATTGAGATACTTAAGTTGGTTGAGCAAACCTTCTTCTTGTTGAAAGTTGAAACTTCAATAAAGTTGAGACTTGAGAATTGGAAAATGTAGAATCAAATAATCAGCTAATCAGAATTACTCAGATTGTAGAGAACTGAGAATGTATGAGTATGAGAGAGAGAGAGAGAGAAAAGATTAAGAGAATTATTGAATTGGTGTGATGAGAATGATGGAGGATATGGCTATTTATAGGAATTGAACATAATCCAATTGCCCAAAATACCTAAAAAACTAGTTGTTATTTAGTTGTTGGGAGGGGTATTTTGGTCATTATAAAGTTATTTATAACTTTACCCCAAAATCCCCCCTAAACTAGTTGTTATATAGCTGTTAGGGGGCATTTATGTCATTTTTTCAACCTCCCATAAGCAAAATACACAAATACCCCCTAATATGGCTGTTTATAGCTGTTAGGGGGATATTTCTATAAAAAACCCCCAAAAAGTTGAAACTAGTCGTTGGGCCCCTTGGCTATATTCTAGGCGGGCCGTGCCGTGCCGCGGATTGGATCGTGCCGCAGGTTCGTGCCATGCCAGYCCATGAACCTTGAACCCCCGGCCCAGCACGCACAGATCTTCGTGCCGAGCCAGGCTAGTCCAATTTCGTGTTGGGCCGTGTTGAGCTGCGGGCCGCCCAGCCCTATTTACACCTCTAAGCATAGTCTCAGATGCAAACTCAAAGCAATTAAACCTCCTTGTACAAGAATACCACTACTGGCTTAAGAAAGATGAGCAATTATGGAGGTTGAAATCAAGGGAGCTCTAGCTAAGAGATGGAGACAAAAACACCAAATTCTTTCATCATATTGCAAACCACAAGAATATGAAAAATAATATAGAATGGAAGAAAAAATCAAATGATACTTGAACTTCCAACAAGGTTGAAATAGCAAAAATCTTCAARAGTACCATTTTGGAAGTTGGAGTGAACAAAAATTTTGATCCCTCATCATTAGACACTCTCACTCTTCCTCAGCTTCAAGACAACCATATGAGCTCATTGATGCAGCCACCAAGTTATGAAGAAGTCTCAATAGCTGTAAAGCATGTGCACCCCCATAAAGCCCTAGGCCTAGATGGATTTACAGCTTTCTTCTATCAACAATACTAGAATACAATAGGAAATGATATCTACAGCATGGTGTGTCATTTCTTCACTTTTGAGCTTTTACCCAAGGAAACAAATAATACTAATTTGGTTTTTGTTCCAAAGAACAGCCAACCAATGGATGCAACTAGTTACAGGCCGATTAGCCTCTGCAATGTTCTCTACAAGATCATTTCCAAATGGCTAGTCATGAGACTACAACCAGCGTTGCAGGAGATTATATCACCATTTCAGACAGGTTTTTTTAAAGGAGAGGCAAATTGTCGACAACATTCTTTTAGTAAGGGAAGTTGCACATATGATGAAGGCTCAGAAAAGAGGTAAGGGATACAAAGTCCTCAAACTTGATATGTCGAAAGCATTTGATAGAATGGGGTGGGAATTTTTACAAAAGACTCTTTATACAATGAATTTTCCCAATAAATGGTGCAATCTAATATATCAGTACATCTCCACTCCCTCTTTTTCCATCAAATTAGGAGGGGAAGCCCATTGCCACTTTCATCTCAAAAGAGGCCTTCATCAAGGAGACCCACTATTGCCTTATTTATTTATTATTGGCATGGAGGTCCTCACCCAATTACTAAACAATGCGGCTACTTCAGGTCTCATAGAAAGTATCAAAGTATGTCATGATGGCACACCTTTCACACACCTCTTCTTTGCTGATGACTGTATACTTTTCTGCAAGGCTGATCTGCTACAAATCAAAGCCCTCAAACAAATACTTCATAACTTTGAGAAGATATAGGACAAAGAATCAATTATGGGAAATCAAACTTGATGTTTAGCAAAAATGTACCACGTCAGCATCAAAAGTTCTTCTCCAAAGTTCTCAAGGCGAGTAAATCCATGTGGGGCACTAAATATCTAGGTTCTAGAGTGGAAATAAATGCCAAAAATCAGCTTTCTAATAAAGAATTGTTGGACTGCATACACTCTAGAATTAATTCATGGAGCTCAAAGCTACTCTCTCAAGCAGGAAGAATCACATTAGTGAAGTCAGTCATACAGTCCATTCCAAATTATTCAATGGCATCTATGATTCTTCCTAATACATTTCATACCCAATATGATAAGCTCACAGGGGACTTTTGGTGGCAAGCTGAATCACATATTGTTRAACACACTATCTCATGACAAATATTATGTCTTCCTAAAGAAGCTGGAGGACTAGGATTCAGGAAGAGCCTACTAATGAATAAAGCTATGTTCGGAAAACATATATGGAGGTTGTTTACTCAACAGAGCAATCTATGGTGCCAACTAGTTAAGGAAAAATATTTTCCTAAATGTAATCCCTTCATGGCAAAGAAAAGGCAACAAAGCTCTAAATGGTGGAAACAAGCTCATAGTTTATTAGCTGATTTAAAGCCAAATCTACTATGGATTGTAAAGGATGGCTTATCTGTATCAGCTTTTGATGATCCTTGGGTACTAACTATTCCAGGTGGAATACCGATACCAAGTCCTACATGTGAGTCACACACCTTGAAACCGAAGGTAGCATACCTTCTAAGTGTGGAAGGTATATGGGATCTAAGAGTGATCCAATAATTCTTTGATGAGGCTACAATGAGTCACATCACACAAATAAGACCTCAGACAGATCTAGTAAGGGATCAAAAGATTTGGAAAAGAACCAATTCTGGGGTTTTTGTAGTTAAATCTGCATATAAAAGTTCTCTCATTATTGCCTTCTCCTTCAGCCCCTCACTTCAATTGGAATCTGCTTTGGAAGCTTAAGACCCCTTATAGATGCCAAGTTTTTGTCTGGAAAGCATTATTGGATGGTGTGTTAACAAAGGACAAGTGTGCTAAATGGCTATCTTCACATGATCAAATTTGTTGTTTTGTTTACAACAACAAGAAACCTTTCATCATCTCTTCTTCACATGCTCTTATGCTAGAGCTGTTTGGTGTGAAGCACAGATTGGGATTAATCCAGACGCAATAGTGACGCAACCTCTGCAACTCTTACTTGAAGAGTGGCTTAGGTCTTTGCAACTTCAAATGACCAAGAAAGAAATCAGAATATAACAATATATTCTGATTGTCAAAAACTTGTTAATCTCTTCACACTTCACACCAGACCAAGTTCATGGGTAGAACAGATGCACTGGGCTCACATCCGGAGGCTGCTGCTTAGTTTTCAATCCTGCTCGCTTATTCATGTAAATAGATAGTTAAATCCAATGGCCCATCTTTTTTCTTACTTTGCTTGTAAGGGTAAAGTCACTCTACAATATCATTCTATTACCCACAATCATGTACAATTATTTTCTGATCAATGAAGCTGTTTTTGTGTGCCAAAAGAAAAAAAAAAAAAAAACCTTTTTATTGGCTGAAAGACAAACTAATTTGGGCTTTTCAGGTTTTTTCACCAAACTTTCCTTATAGATTATCTGGATTCTGGATAGGGCCCCACCTCACAAAGCCAAAACCACCACTTGGAATCTCTTTCCAAACGGTCACTAAGCAACTCTTGGCTTTGCAAGGTGGGCCCCATGTGTATGTAAGGTTGTAAGCAACGTTTGGTGAAAATCTAAAAAAAAAAAAAAACTAGCTTGTTGTGGCTAACATAGGAGATTAGGAACCAAAGCTTTCCTAGTGCTGGTAAAGTCTTGCTTTTTGAGCGAAGACTTCATATCAAATTTGCCCTCGTCAGGGTTGGGGAGTTTGGGGGAGTTGATTTGTGCAGGATGCAAGTATGCAACTTGCGTGGGGTTAGTCCGAACCCAATATAAAGTTGGACTAGAAGACGGAAGAACTGTTTGCCTAAATTGCTGGGTTGTGTTGTTGATGTTATCGGTGGTAGTGTTGCTGTTGTTAGTAGATCTGACAATTGGGTTGTGTGGGTCGAGTTTGGGTTGGGTCAATACACTCCGGGTTGGTTTTGGATTGAGTGGCAAATGTTAGACCCTAAAACTCTAAATGTTTGGCTTACGTGATTCATAGGTTAATTTGGGTCATCTCAAAAATAACTGAAATTTAAAAATAAAAAAAAATATATTAAAATGACAAAATTAAAAAAAATATAATAATCTTAAAATTTCAAACATAAAATAAAAAATTTGAACAAGGAGTAGAATAGGCTAATGGATCTTGCTAATGTAAATAATGATCATACACCCATAGGCAACTACAAATCTTTCAATACAGAGCTCGGAGCTTTGGCTTTCGTTAGGAGTAATGTCAACACGGATCAGATCAACGAAGCAAACATCAACTGTGACTCGGTTTTGTTAGAGATATCTGTTACAACGAACTCCTAGGTGTCAACTGTTAGTCGGTTATTTTTCTCCTTCAATTGTATTTATAGAGACCTCATTCATTCAATGAAATCGTAACTTCATTCTTCTTCCCAATTGTTGCTCTGTTCTCACGTCTGAACCAGTTTTACATGGTATCAGAGTGAGGCTGGAATAATCTTTCGATCCGTGGCCATGGCTGTCAATTACTTACAACAGCAGTGATCTGTCGACTCGTCTCTATCTCTTTTCTGCTTCATCGTCTATGACTCTTTTCTTATCGTGTCTCACGGGATAAAAGAAATGACGACTTCATCGTCCACCAGCAATTTGCTGGTATCCATTGATCCGGCCTCTCCTTTCTTCTTGTTCCCCTCTAGCAGTCCAGGAAGCGTCCTGGTTTCACAGTTGCTCACTGGCGACAATTATCCAACTTGGCAAAGGGCTATGAAAAATGCTCTTCGTGCCAAGAACAAGATCTATTTCATAGATGGATCTTTGTCACATCCTGACCCTACCTCGCCGGAATGGATTGCTTGGGAGAAATGCAATGCCATGGTTGTGGCTTGGATCCTCAATTCAATGATAAAAGAAATCTACGACAATGTGGCATTCGTAGATTCAGCCTCTAATGTGTGGAAAGAACTGGAAGTCCGACGTGGCCGCTCTAATGGGAAAAGGAAAGCAGGCTATCAACATCAACTTGGAGCCGCCACCGGAGAACGGTGACGAAAGAGCTCGCCCCATGGAGGACGCCATCTTGGTGTCGATCTCAGTTACTAACCCCGAGAAGATGGTGCAGATCGGAGCTCGCCTCACGGAACCACTACACACTAACCTAGTAAGTTTTTTAATTACAAATATAGATATTTTTTCTTGGTAGGTAGCAAAAATGTCCAACATAAACCCCTCTATCATAACTCATAAGCTAAATGTTGACAATTTAGTCAGACCAGTCGGGCAGAGGAAAAGGAACCTCGCCCAGGAGTGGTGAAGAATAGAAGGTGAGGAGGTCGTGAAGCTCCTCGTAGCAGACTTTGTTAGAGAGGTTGAATACCCAAGCTGGATTGCCAATCCAGTGCTCGTGAAGAAAGCTAATGAAAAAATATATCTTAAATATAATATTTAATGAGAGAATATACCTTACATACGAGATTTAATGAGAGAATATAGGAAAATAGTTTATTTCCAATTGGTTTTAAATTTTACATTCCATTTTCATCGTTAAGAAAAACATTTCTAATTTATCATACTTATTATTGTTTAATATGACAAATAAATGATGTTGAAATGTTCCCAGCTTTTTTAATCATACATTCTTTGTATTTTCTCTATTTATGAATTTTATTATTTAATTGTGACAAAATGAATTTTTATTTTAACAATTAATTTTATTTTATATGATGAATATAGAACATTAGAAATGTTCTCAAATGTTTTTAACAAGATTTTATACTTTTTTATTTTTCGTGTTCTATCTTTTTTTAATAATTATTATTCAATTATGACATCATGAGTTTCTTTGAAAAGTTGAGCCATTGACATACCCATCATCTAAATAAGAAAATAGCTTTGCTTTTGGATCAGTTTTAAATTATATATTTCATCTACATTATATAAATATTTTTACTTATCACACTTAATTTTTTTTTGACATAATTAATTTATTCTTTTGACTACTTGTACTTTTATTTATTTTTTTAAAGATTTATTATTTAATATCATGTCATAATTAATCCATTTGACCCAAATACCAACCCACCACCCAAAAAGAAAAATAATTTGCTTTCTAGGTCGACATTAAATTTTGTATTTCATTTCCATCATAATTGATAGAATTATTTGTTATGTATAATACTTATTTTTATTCAATATAATAAATGTATTATATAAGAGATGTACCCAATATTTTATTTTTTATAAATATATAACATTAGACATGTACCCAATTTTTCCTCTTTTTTTATTTTTGTGATTCTTTTAGTTTTCAATTTTTAAAAGTTTTATTATTATTTGACTTTGACATAATTTTGTTTCTAGGTTGATTTTAAATTTGTAATTTCATTTTCATCATTAATAAAAAGACTTCTTATGTTTCATACTTATTTTTGTTTAGTATAATGAATAAACAATATTAGAGATATGCCCAATTCTTTTTTTGTATTATATATTTTAAAAAAGAATTTATTTTAATTTCTTATTATTTAATTATGGCAATATTTATTAACTCATTTGACCCCAAATTGTTGAATTGCTTACCCACCACCGGGAGGGAAGAAAATGGCTTTGTTTTCAAATCATTTTTCAAAATATTTATTTTTATACTATTAAAATTAATGTTGTGGCTTTAAACAATATAATTTAATGATGAAAAAAATATATCTTAAATATAGGATTTAATGAGAGAATATATCCAATTGGTTTTAAATTTTACATTTTATTTGCATCATTAATAAAAATATTTCTTATTTATCATACTTATTATTGTTTAATATGTCGAATATGTGATGTTAAAGTGTTTCCAATTTTTTTAATTTTTAAATTATTTGCATTTTACCTATTTTAAATTTTATTATKTAATTGTGGCAGCATGGGTTGGCCCATTGGACCAAAAATGGTTTAATTTCTTACCACCACTTAGATGAAAATACTATTTTTTTCTGGTAGATTTTAAAGTATAAGTTTTTATGTTATTAGAATTATTAATTTATTATGTATGGATTTAATTAATAGAACTTAATGATGAAAAGAAACAAAAATATTTTAAATATATGATTCAATGAAGGTGAGTGTAAGTTAATTTCTTAAATGTTAAATTTAAAAAGAGAGAAATTAATGCAATGGATGTCTTAACATTACCTCGTTTCAACTCATTTAATATTAATAATCGAATACCATATTTGCCCTCATTTTTATCAATAAATTTAAATACGGAGGGGTAACTTTTGTCCTTAAAAAATTCCATAAATATTCTTGAGGATATTTGTTGCATGTGAAAATTTTTTCTTCATATTAATTAATTGAATTTTAGATATATCATAGTTAAGATAGAAATTAAAAATTAACAAAAGTAGCAATATGATTAAAAATAAACTTAAATGCTTGTAGCAAATAACGATTATTATTATTATTATTATTATTATTGTTGTTGTTGTTGTTGTTGTTGTTGTTGTTATTATTATTATTATTATAACATTAGAAATTCTCTTAAATGTTCTAGACAAAATTTTGTACATTTTCATTTTTAGTGGTCTATTTTTTAAAATATTTATTATTTAATTATGACATCATAGGTTTCTTTAAGATGTTGGATCATTGACCCACCATCTAGATAAGAAAATAGCTTGATTGTACAAGTGGTATAAGTGTGTAAGAAAAATAAAGAAAAATGATGATTAATACCAAATTTTATCAAATTGATATCATTACACCAATTTGATAAAAAATCACAATAAATTCTTGCCTGTGAAATTTACACCAACTTGATAGAAATTTATAACTTGATTGTGCAAGTGGTTGGTCCCTTTAGTTCTTTTATACGGTCTTATTAATATTATATAAGTTTGTAAGAAAAATAAAAAGAAAAGAACAAGAGAGGGAGCAGGAGAAAGGCTGAGGGAGAACAATAGAGATTGAGGGAKAATGAGATATTGATCGAGAGGAAGAGTGAGGGAGAAGAATGAGAGAGAGAGAGGGGRGGAGAAACAAAAGTTTTGATTTGGCTACAGACCAAAACTGAGAGAGTGGGAGAAACAAAGAGAGCGAAAGATCGAGACATGGCTGTGAGAGTGAGAGAGAAGGGAGGGAGATTGAGATACAGAGGGAGCATGAGAGAAACTGAAAACCTATTTTCGGTATAGGCTTTTTGCTATGTCCAACATGGATTAAGAGTCTCATGTTGGCAACAACCATATAAGCCTCCGATGACATGTGGGGGGGTTTTATAATTTGATATGTAGAGCCGGTTGTCAGAGTTTTTGTTGTTTTTTGGTTCATCCTACAATATATTTCATGTACATTATATAAATAATTTTCCMTTTAAACTATATATTTCATGTATATTATACAAAAAATTTTTACTTATTACACTTAATTTTTGTTTGTCTATGATAACATTTGACCCAAACCACTAACCACCACCTAAAAAAATAGTATGATTTCTAGATATACATCAAATTTTGTATTACATTTCCATCATTGATAAAATTATTTCTTATGTAAAATACTTATTTTTTGTTCAATATAATGAATGCATAATATTAGAGATGTACCCAATATTTTATTTTTTATAAATATATAACATTAGATATGCACCCAAAATTTTCCCTATTTTTTATTTTTGTGATTCTTTGAATTTTTTTATATTTAAAATTTTAATTATTTGACCATGACATCATTTCATTTTTAGGTAGATTTCAAATTTGGCAATCCATTTTCATCATTAATAAAAATACTTCTTACATTTCATACTTATTTATTTTAATTTTTTATTATTTAATTATGCCATTGTTTATCAATTCATTTGATCCCAAATGGTCGAATTGCTTGCCCACCACCAAAAGGGAAGAAAATGTTTATGTTTTCAAATTATTTTTCAAAATATTTATTTTATACTATTAAAATTAACATTGTGGATTTAATTACAAAAATTTAATGATGAGAAAATATATCTTAAATATAGGATTTAATGAGAGAAAATAGGAAAATGTATTTATTTCCATTTGGTTTTAAATTTTACATTCCATTTCCATCATTAATAAAAACATTTCTTATTTACCATACATATTATTGTTTAATATGTATGTTAAAAATGTTTCCATTTTTTTCATTTTATTTATTTTTAAATTTTATTATTTAATCATGGCAACATGGATTGACCCATTTGACCGAAAATGGTTTAATTTCTTACCACCACCTAGATGAAAATACTGTTTTTTCTAGGTAGATTTTAAAAGTATGAGCTTTTATATTATTGGAATTATTAATTTATAAAGTATGAATTTAATTAGTTGAATTTAATGATGAGAAGAAACAAAAATGAATTAAATATATGATTCAATTAATGCAGGTTAATAACTTAAATGTTGGATTTAATGAGAGGGAATTGAATGCTTGAATATTTTAAGATTACCTTTTTTTCAACTCGTTTAATATCAATAATCGATTACCCTATTTGCCCTCATTTTTTATCAATAAATTTAAATATAGAGGGGTAAATTTTATCCTCAAAAAATTCAAGAAATATTCTTGAGGTCATTCATGCTTTTTAAAATAGTATAGATATATGTAAAGCATAATTATAAAATATATATATAACATAATTATACTATTTATTGATAAAATATGTATTTTTACACACACACACATAGTCATGAATGCATGTTAATAACTTAAATGTTGGATTTAATGAGAGGGAATCAAATGCTTGAATATCTTACGATTACCACTTTTAATTTCAACTCGTTTAATATCAATAATCGATTACCCTATTTGCCCTCATTTTTCATCAATAAATTTAAATATAGAGGGGTAAATTTTGTCCTAAAAAATTCCATAAATATTCTTAAGGCCATTCATGCTTTTTAAAATAGTATAGATATATGTAAAGCATAATTATAAAATATATGTAAAACATAACTATGATATATATAAAACATAATTATACTATTTAGTGATAAAATATGTATTTTTACACACACACACACATAGTGTTGATGCAGAGCGTTTGA